GAAAAGACCATAGAGAATGTATTGTGTGCGAGAGAACACAATGGTACGGAAAAAAAAAACATTTGAAAGGACAAACATTTGAAGGGGCTACATTTGATGCGTATTTTGTAATTTTTATGTCTGGCACGAGCATAGATCCACTAGTAGCACTCTCTTCTGGGTCAGTCAACAAATAAACAGTATCACACAAAATCACGTAATTTGTCTGAGAAAATAATTGTTTTTTTTTTTATTACCATCACAGCGATTGCGACATTGTTTGTAATTATTTATTTAATTTAACTTTTGACCTCACTTCCAACTGATATTTCAAATGACAGTACAGAGATCACCATTTGCGACCTCCATTCGTAAAACCACAACCCCAAAACTAGTAGTCAAGAGGTCTCGCCATTGAAACCACTGGCTGGAGCAAGTCTAGAAGTAGCAGCATCCTATTTCTGGGTATCACCATAAATACAGCACTAACGCTCATAATATATCTACAAATATATGTTGACAAATGATTTTCATTTCAACAAGATTCCTCTCGCAGGTCTGCTGGAAGAGATTCCTTAAAGAAATAAGCAGTGCCTTTGTACATAATTTTCCTATTACTCTGTACTATGTCTTCTTTTCTGTGTACATAAATAAAAAAATAAAAGAAAATAAGATTCATTTAGTGTAGACAAGAAAATGTATGTCATAGATATTGGTTATCCTCGTAAGTAACCATTTCTTGTTGAACCGATATTAATCTTTTGAGCGCCAGCCGTCGTTAAATCGACTCTGCCTTAATGCGTGTAAAGTGCGGGGCATCGAAATATCGACTATAGCTCAGTTTGATTATAGGTATTGGGTAACGACCTGTGTGATTAGTGCGAGTTATTTAACGTTCTCTATCGCGTAAAAGTTAACTCAAATTTGTATGGAGTTAGAACAGCGCCCCTAGCGGGAAACGAAGGGAAGCTGTTCCAACTTAAAAACGTTAAAAAGCTTGTAATAAGCGCACTGTATGGACATGTCTTAACGCGCTCATGTATAACGCTCTTAATAAGCTAATAACATTTGTTAATAAAAATTTAAAAAGATTTCGCTGTGACTTTGGGCATTAATTTTTGTTTTTTTTTTAAAGTTAAAGGTTAAGTTGGTAGGACCTCTTGTTCTGGTAGGACCTCTTGTGAATCCGCACGAGTAGGTACCACCACCCCCGCCTATTTCTGCCGTGAAGCAGTAATGCGTTTCGGTTTTTAGGGTGGGGCAGCCGTTGTAACTATACTGAGATAGAACTTATATCTCAAGGTGGGTGGCACATTTACGTTGTAGATGTCTATGGGCTCCAGTAACCACTTAACACCAGGTGGGCTGTGAGCTCGTCCACCCATCTAAGCTATTAAAAAAAAATTTTTATAAGATACTTTTTTTTTCAAAAATCCTTTAACTATTTTTGCAAAATATGTAAAAATAAGTTCAGCACTAAAAACGTTAAAGACACCACACCAATCAATCTCAAAGCGAAAAAAAAAAGATTCTCTGACACGCAAATCACGAAAATGTCCCTACAATTACAATTTATCGCATAAATGTCATAATATTGCTATAAGTCATTTGATTCTCTGTTTCCCTATCAAAACAAGAAAACAAATTTTCCATTCATTACCTGTATCGCGTGTATATAACTGTATTAATACAATCAACGAATGTGGATATCCCGCTGTGATTTATCTCTAATAACGTTGATTGCTTGTTATTGTATTTATTTAAGATTACGATCAGATGGCACGTGTTAAAAATCGATATTATCCAGTCTTATATAATAAATACATTCCAAATATGTTTTTAGATATTTTCTGAAATTGACTCATATGTAGCTAGGATCCAAAGCCGTGGCCACAAAAAAGGGAGGCGTAGAGTAGAGATTCGGATTCCGAGTTTCCTCGCCACCAAAGCGCAGTAATTGCCGATTGAAACAGGCCTTAGATGGAGATGCTTAGTGATGCAGACGAGAAACTGCTGCTTACCGGTAAATACCCTACACAAGCCTCATTTGAAGAAGAATATATCGTATTGTAGTGCTCCGGAAACACTGAGGAGCGCATTTCAAGTATTCCATTTGGCAGGCAGCGACTTGGCTGTCCCTCTTGCCATTGCTGACGTCCATGAGTGACAGTAACCACTTACCATCAGTTGGGCGTATGCTAGTCTGCCTGCAAAGGCAATAAAAAACCGCCGAACGGTAAGTGGGAGAAAATATATCTGGAAACACACTGTGGATGAGCACAATGGTTCTCGATAGCCTGGAAGAACTCTACTCCAGAGACGGGTGGTGTAATATTATAAACTAGAGGGTAGGATCTTCTCAAACAATTCTCAGAGCACTTTCTTCCTTCCTTCCTTCTCAGAGCACATACGGCAAAAAACACAGAGAAACCCAAAGTAGCCCCAATAGACCCAGAGGTTCGAACTGATCCTTTATAATGGCAGACCGGCAGATTATAGATAATCAGAATAGCCCTCTTTTGTATGCAGTCAAATGGAAGTAGCTGGTATTTGGGAAGCCCGACCCAGATGTGGGAGCAGTACTCCACGCGAGGCCGGACTTATGTCTAGTAAAACACAAGTCTTTGGTCAGGCGTAAAGTACCGCTTTTTAAGATTACCGCTATTTAAGACACCAGTTTCGCTTTGTCCTTCAAAAGACTCTGATATTAGTCAACTTCATGATTTCAGTCTGAAAAAAATTACAGAATTGTCACGATGAATAGTCACAGGAGCTGGTTAGTAAACGACACCAGTGCCAACTCTTCGGGTATTTGCGATGACAAAGCGACTACTCTGGTAATTATCGCATTCCCAGAGGTCGCTACGGACTGTCCACTCCTAAGCATCGCAGTAAGGCCACTGAACAAATTTTAAAAAGGACATTTTGAAGTTGCCACATCAGAATCAGTGAAACGTAATGAAAGATCTAGTAGTTTTGGCCTGCAGTTAAGGTATACAAACCCCGACTTCTCTAGCTAATGCTTCTACGGATCAGAAAAACCAGTAACATACCTACCAACTTGGCTCTTCTTAATTCCCATGTTATAAGTAGGGAATATTTTACTTCTTGTGTTTCAACTTAAACTAGTAGGTGAGCACACAGGGATCTAGCCTGGTAACGATGCTAACACTAGCCCTAGCAAGAGCAGTGCTTAGCAGAATCTACCGGATCGCAAACGCGGCCCACTGAGAATATCCGACGAGAAACTCAGTGAGCTAATATTTTGCTAGCGACAGCTCGTCGAAGAAAACCAAATAACATAGTTCACCCAATTGATATTATTGTACTTATTTTTACGTAGGAATCTATCGTAATCAATAATATGTCTATTAAACTTCCTCTTTTGTTGGTGAAGTTTATTTAATCGTTCAAATAATAATAGGTGTGCTTCAAAATTTACCACGGTCCTATTGAATACGACTGAATCAATAAAAGACAATAATAGAGTACCTACCTACATACGTCATTGACAAAAACTAGTTTATCTTAGGTTTTTGTTCTATTTTGTATGCACGCTCAAGACATACATATGAATGAAAGTTCGGTCAGGACAAAGCAGGGTTCAACGAACGCGACTTACCTTCACAACGCACAGGGGGTTACTATATATTAAAATATTTAAATCGGAATTATGGCATAAAATGAATTTGATATGAGAACATCAGTGGTCGGTGACAGCGGGTCGCTCATTAGCGTCGCGAAGCTGTTTTGAACCGCGCCTCGCTCGGCTTGAGACTTGGACCTCATGTTCCAATGACGGCCTTCTGATGACCATGAGCTTCGATAGCCAATCAAGAGCTTCTGGATCGTGAACCAGTACATATATCTGCGCATTAAAACCATCATGAAGCTATCACAAAACCTGTTTCTCATGAACATATATGGGACGAAAGAACATAGACTAGAACCTATTTGGATGAAGACCACTCTGTAATTGCTTTGATATTAAAAGATCAAAGACAACATTTAAAGTTTCTGGATTTCAAGGACAAAGTATAGGGAAATGATAAACGGGATAATTTATTACACAAGCTTGTCTGTCGCAACTCGCAAAGTCAAGCATCCAAAAATACGCCACTAAGCCGATTTTTTTTATTGCTTATTCGGTTGGACAAGCTTACGGCCCGGCCCACCTGGTGTTAAGCGGTTACCGGAACCCATCGACATCTACAGTGTAAATGCCGCTACCTACCTTGAGATATAAGTTCTAAGGTCTCGGTATAGTTACAACGGCTGTCCCTTCTGCCCGGCCTAACCTTCAAACCGAAACGCAATACTGCTTCACTGCAGAAATAGGTGGTACCTACCCATACGGACTCACAAGACGTCCAACCACCAGTAATTCCCTGAAAAGTACTATAACAAATATATATAGACAGGATCGTTTGCCTTCTCGACTGGCTGAGTGATTGTTAACCGATACACTCCACCCTGTATGTCCCCGGCGGTGACGTCACACACTACAAGTTCCGCACGTGCGTCTCATTTCACATTTCCCACAGCCAACCCTTCTGGTGGGGCCTCCGGTTGAATATCGCGACGAAAGCTCGCTTTATTAGCGGCGTAAAGGTATAACAACAAAAGACAGTGTGCGTTTCAATACACGTCGCATCCAAAGTTAAATCAGCTAAACCTCGTAAGATAGTGAAAATAACAGTGGTGGTAGATCGTCTTGTGAGCCCATACGGATAAGTCCCACCGCCCTCTCTATTTCTGCGGGAAAGCAGTCATCTATTTCGCCCTCATGACTCAAAGATGGCCGGTATTCGCTTTGTGATATTTGAAGACTCCTATCATCATTTAAGGCCAACAGATATCTTCTTTATATAAGCACTGCGGGAATAATTCGTGCACACAAGTGAGGTACGTTTGAGTCTGAGTTCGCAGTAGACAATCCGCACAGACGTGGTGCAGTCGCTGGACTCATTGCGAGGAGTCACCGGACGATCAGGCCCCAGACCATTAACGACAGAACTCACCTTAAGTTCCTCAATCTGCAGTCAGATATGACGCTCATTCTTGACCTGGAGTCGCCCAGGTCCAAGGGAGGGAGAAGGCCCTTCGAACGCCCAAGCATACTACAAAAATAGAACTTAAATGAACGAAAAATAATTCTAATAGAGTAAATTAGACTTTTGCTGTAAGATATCGTGTAAAATTTTTAGTGACTACAATTTATCCAAAATTCGGCCTATTTTGTTGTGAGATAAAATCGTTACGTATTTGTGGTATTCGTTGTATTATGGGACGCAAATGAAGGCTGATGCAGTACACTCGGTCATAAGATCGAAATGACAATAGTCCGTATCATTGTTCATCAAAGGGCAACTGCGACCAGGTTCCCACCATCATTATTCCCAAATAGTACGCTAGCAGTAACCCAACTTCCCAATTCCCACCCAAAGTTTATTTAGAACACTAGGTATATCTTTATCCCGTGTGTGTCCCTCCTCCGCAGGGTCCTCCCTAACCTACCTACACATTGTGCCATCCATCTTCGATAAACGGTTATAATCATTCAGGAGCACTGGCAAACGTCAAGAATTAATATTGAAATTTCTGCCACTAAGTTTTCTCATCTCAAGATAAGCAGATGAAGGTCACGCTTCTTCACAATTGCTGACTATCTGCGGATGCAAATACCAATAACCCAAAAGTCCCGACCAGACCGTCGCCACAACCGAAGTAAGGCATTGCCCCCACCTGGCTTTACTAAAGGACTTGCTCTTGTCAGTCAGGCGTCTCTTCGGACGAACAGTAGAGTCACCAGCGCCGTGCAACGAACCTTCCACGGGGGTCGTCGTCTTCAAAGCGCTGAAGCTAGACTCCTGCTAGAATTCAAAATTAACGGGCAATTCGAACATCCAAAATGTTTCGCGCGTTACGTTCGTCTGAATTACAATTAAATCGGCTTTAAGTTTTGCTGATTTTGGAGTGGGTCCTCCTTATTATACTTAGTTACAGTTTATGATAGTATTTAAGTCGGAACGAGAACGGAACTCCTGGATACCACTATGTCTCCCTTTTGATGGGCCATTGAAAAATTCACGTGGCATGTTATTTAATATTCTCATATTGTTTGGACTATTTTTTTGTCATAAACAGCCCGAAGAGCTCACGTTACACAGACCACAACGTGCGAGATCATGCGAATGAAATAATCAGGCTGGATCTTACCTACGTTCTAGAGTACGTTTTTATTCTGAAGATAATATTACTTCCCAGGATATTTGAGGATAAAATCGCGTCCAATTAAATCGCAACGTATCCCTGCGAGCGACACAGTTCGAGACACACAGTTATTGTGTCACATACCTTTCTACATGGCCTGGCTACATGGTCATAAATTGTGGTTATTTTAAAGTCATACATGATACAATGATACAAAAACCGGATATGTTGATGCTTGATTAGTAACTCGTAATGATGTTTTAAATATTGTAATAGCATAATATAAGTAATGGTCCTTCCCAAGTCGCTTAGCCAATTTAGTCTAGGCTAACGATACCAGCACCTAGTTAATCGACATGGGATTTAGTGACTAAAGTTAACAGAGTATTATGATTCAATACTTTAGTAGAAACATTATCCGAGCTGTAATCCGTGATTTTCTGCAGAACTTCGCTTTCAGCACCGATCGGCTCCGAACTTGGCTCCGTGTCGCTTGTATCCTGTACATCGTCGAGAAGTTACAAAAAAAAACGTCATTACGGATCCTCCCGATCCATTAACGGTGCTTTTAGGTACCACAAGCACCGGTCACCGTCCTCGTCGAACCCGTCGACGTCCGACGTAAATGTGCCACCCACCTTGAGATATAAGTTCTAAGGTCTCAAGTATAGTTACAACGGCTGCCCCACCCTTCAAACCGAAACGCATTACTGCTTCACGGCAGAAATAGGCAGGGCGGTGGTACCTACCCGCGCGGACTCACAATAGGTCCTACCACCAGTAAAAGTCCAAACCAATAGGGTCCTATCCCCAGTGTTTCGGGCGATGGCGGCTTTTCGTTGCCCCGTCGCGGTCGGTTAAGAATGGCCCCCTATACTACCAGCGAATAGGTAGACAATATATATTTTTTAATTATTGAAAATTCATATAAATTACTATTAAAAAAAACACATCATATTGGTCCAAAACCAATTTAGATTCTACTTATTCTACTTATATTAAACCTGCGGAGGACTTAGTCTCAGTGAAGACCACGTGTCTGCGTCTACTCATTACAGACTAAGACGTAAGATACAATATAAATGGGGAGCTTTAATTACTAACATAACTGATGGCCCTTTGCAGAACTTCTTCTCTTACCGTCTTCCACTCATCAGGTATGTTCACTTTGCCGGGGTACCTTTAAATTAACCTCCAAGTTACTGTTATTTGGATTATGGTCAACGTATACTTTTGACCATCGTGAATCGTTAGCTCCCCTTGCGTATGTTATCCTTAGTGAATTGTTAATGTGGGTAAAATTTATCATCCGAACTGTTTACGTGATGGCTTCATCAACTAACCTTGATGGTGAAAGATGAAAATTTTGACAATAATCGTATTTGGCACATCCATTGGCATTACTATTCTGGAGTTTTCAGCCTTATAATCAACTATAAGAGCTCGGTAAAGCCAAAATAGCATAAATATTTATGCTTAACCTGGCAAATTGGTTTCCATTTAGATTGAGATAAGTATCGATTGTCTTTCGGCTTCATTGGTCAAGCATAAACATTTTTGGCTTAAGCAAGCTTTTATTACAAAAGTTTACACCCTAAACTTAAAATAGCATCTACACCTAGCATCATATAAGACACTTTACCCTACGCCACAGCTGATTTTCATTGCACGCAGAAAGAATCAGGATAATTTAAGTGGTTTGATAGTAGTTGAAGTAAATCGATTGTAGACGGAAACCACCAGCACTATATTGGTTTTGGAGAGCGGTTCTTGTAATCCTTATAGACCTAATCTTGGTGTAGACTATAATTACAATACCACTTGGCACTCGAACCTCTAATCTCATACATGTTGGATAGTTAACCTGATCGTCTGTATTAACTACAAGGGATTCTTTACGGCGCTTATTGTAACTCTGAAGCGGGATTTATCATAACCCCAAAACCTTATAGGACTAGAAGCCATTTCCCACAGAAACTTTGACATCCTACACCGATACTTGTCCTATTTATGATGTCCATACACTCATAGCGGACTGTTAAAATTAAATCACCTCACAGAAATGAAAACGATGATACAAGACCAGTTCAAGCCTGGCCATATGATGAAGACATATGATGCTGCTGTGTCAAGACCGCCGATATTCACAACGAAAGAAGCGTTTTAGAGTTTGCCAAATACCTACCAATACTCCGGTGGTATTTCTTCCACCACTGGATACTCTATTGAAGAAATACTGGAGGATTTCCTTAGAGACTCTTCGGGTGGCTGCTCCAGCACCTTAAGGTCGTGTTTGGCCCAAGTGTCTTTGGGTGAAGGTTCTGGAAGTTCATCCGGTATCCAGGATTCGACGCGATTGGGAATGTAGCACGGGGGATAAGCACTCGAGTCTTCCCCGGGATCGTGGCGATAAAACTCCCTAACACGGTAAAAATTATAAGTATACTTCAGGCAGTAGGTATAATAATTAAATTTAAGAATTACACGTATTTTGGGCACATTGAAGGCGTATTGAGAGGGATATTGGAGTCGAATTAACTAAAAGTCCTAGTCACTCCATAATCCCTACCCGAGACAGAAAACTTAGTAGGTACTAAGCAAGTTTTATTTGCTAGAGTGCAGCTTTCTATACGGTGCAAAGATTCGTTTTTATAAACTTCTCGTTACAGGTCATGAACTCATAGACTTTAATATTTATGACATCGCCTGCCCATATGTTAAACTAGATACGGGTATGAATTCACAGTCTCGTCAAATTACTTCCACTATCACTGTCATCTAAGGTAGCATGCTGCTCATCTCAGCTACAAAAAACCAGCTCCAATTTGTATAAAGCTTAACGGCAGTATAAATCCTCTTATTCTTCTTGCCTTTATGCCACATTACGTGAGGTCTAGTCAAGTTCTCTATTTACATTCAGGTCTACCATACGTCATCTTTGTACCAACACAATTCTCTCGCATATCTTCTTTCAATCAGTTCATCCAAGTATTTTTAGGACACCTTTCCTCAATTTACCATGTACTTTCATACCCGAGGTATTTTTGGCCACATGATCATATGTGTATAATAGCAGCAGAAGCAGCATTAATGATTAGATACCAATTGATAAGTTTAAGCCATGCTTGAGCCGCTATGTGGATTGTAAATGCTGACGTCTGCTTCTCCATGTAACGTTCATAACAGATACTCATGGCCTCTTCTAAGATCTCCTCTCTTATTTCGAAGATTAGAAGGTCATCATCTTCTTTCTGAAGGATTTCAGCCCTGCATTGATTAATATATGTACATAAATTGGTTAATCTAACTAACCCGATATACGTAAGTCCTCAAAAGTACATTATGCTATGTGATGCAAAATGTTTAAAGCTGATTTTAGATGTACCTACAGCCACTAATAGCATTCTCTACAAATATTGAGTCTGTGGTGGAGACCGAAATCCCGCCAAAACTAACTCCACACCATGTATCTATGCTCCACACAACAATATACATACACACAACTAATGTACTCTTTCCTACATTTTCCACACTAGTAGTGGCAAATGCAAAAAACGTGCGAGCCACATTTAAAAAAAAAAAGGAGTGAAGTTGTGTGATTTGTTTTATGTTGTCTATTTAGTGTTTCTTCGGGTTTAAATGCGTAATAACCATGGTTTATCAACTGTTTGGTGACTGTGAAAGTGCACAATTCTGGAGAAATGAAACAAAGCCGCTGAACGTAGCTTCTCGGGATCCTCCAAAAAGTCCACTGAAAAAGTCTCAGTAAATGACCACCATTTTACTGAGATTATATTTCATCACATATCATCTCATTTGTAAATTTGTATTCGTTTTTAATCATTTATGTTATATCGCGATTAGTTTCCGTCGTTTTTTATTATTCATAAACTGTAAATAATTATATATTAATTATAGCATCTGGTCCGATAGAAATTTCTCCATAAAAACCAAGCGTAAACTTGCAACAAGTCTTGTGTTTTCTATTTTCTTATATGGGGCGGAGACATGGACTCTGAAGAAGGCTGATCGAAGTCGGATCGACGCGTTAGAGATGTGGTGCTGGAGGAAAATGCTGCGGATTCCCTGGACGGCGCATCGAACAAATGCATCAATCCTGGAAGAACTAGGCGTCTCCTTAAGACTCTCCACCATTTGCCTACGTAGGATTTTAGAGTTTTTCGGTCACGTTGCGAGGAAAAAGGGTGACAATCTCTAAAGACTTCTCATCACCGGCAAAGTGGAAGGAAAGAGGCCTAGGGGGCGTAGTCCTATGCGCTGGTCCGATCAGATTAAGACGACTTTGGAATCCAGCATCAATGTCGCTATCCACTGCGCGGAGGACAGAAGTGAATGGAGGAACATAGTCCTGACAAAAGTGCTCAGTAAAGGTCACGACTCTCAGAACTGAGGAATACGACGCACGGAGGAGGAGGTAAATAATTAAAACGACTAATTATTAAAATCTTATTACTTGACGCCGGCTAATGCACAAACCGTGCCGGAGCCAAAAAATAAAGAAGAAGAAGAAGAATTAATATACTCCACACTAGTCCAGTCACACATCCATGGCAAAATTTGCATTTCTGTTTCATGCAATCGCCTTTCATCCTCAATAAGTCAAATTGCACTATCAATCTTTAATTATACAATCTTGTTTATTAGATTGTTATATTCACGTTAATCATATCTTGCACAATAATTGCGTAGTTTAACTGAACAGCGACATGTACATGGTTCGTCCTAAGCCCCAAAAGCTTATCAACAAACCTACAAGAGAATGCAGGCTGCTATCTTCAGTACTGTGGACGTCCAACTAAAGTAATCTGCCAATATTGATTCTGTGTAAAAAGCATATTACCAAGTACGCTCCTGTACATCCTTCGGCAAAGCAATTAAAGTCCTTTGATCGTCAAAAACTTGAAGCTTTCTTCCGCGGCGAGAAATCTTGTATTTAATTAAATTTGTTGATGTGACCGTACTCGTCATATTTTAAGATAAGTCGGTAATGACGCTATCAAATTTAAAACAGGATAAGTACACAGATACACATAAAAAATTTGTTTGTTTTCCTTGATGAAAGAATAAAAATATATTAAACATAGTTCGTTATAAAATTATAACTCATTGTTATTGTTAGCAGGTACCTAAAAATCAAAGCAATTAAGATTTTTTTTAAGGAAAATAACATATTCAAACTATTATTACGATATTTATTTAAAATCCGTATGTTTTTACTGAGTACGAAGGGAATGGTGATGATAGCTTTTTACTATGTTTCGTCATGCGCAAAATAAATATTGATTAACTGTTGAAAACGTTATCTGTACTTATCAGAAAAGTGAGATTGATAATTAATTATTATCTACTTTTCTGATTATACTAATAACTAAACTAGGTACTGTACCAACTAAAACAAAATGGTCAACGAAATCTGTGTGAATAAAAACAAGCTATACTTTAATGTTAAATAATGTGTTGATTGTCTATCATCATCATCATCATTTCAGCCTATCGCCGTCCACTGCTGAACATAGGCCTCTCCAATAGATTTCCAGTGCGACCGGTCCATTGCCACCTGCATCCAACGAGACCCAGCGCTTTTTAATAGGTCGTCGGTCCATCTGGTAGGTGGCCGTCCCACACTGCGCTTGCCAGTACGTGGTCGCCACTCCAGGGTCTTTCTGCCCCATCGACCGTCCTCTCTTCGTGCTATGTGGCCGGCCCATTGCCACTTCAGTTCACTAATTCTACGGGCTATGTCAGCAACCTTCGTTCTTCTACGGATCTCCTCATTTCGGATTCGATCACGTAGAGAAATGCCGAGCATAGCCCTCTCCATAGCTCGCTGCGCCACTTTGAGCCTTCTAAAAAGATCCCTAGTGAAGCACCACGTTTCCGAGCCGTAAGTCATCACTGGTAACACCCATTGGTTGTACGCCTTTGTCTTAAGGCACTGAGGTATTTTGGACGAGAAGACTATATAAGCCTATATATAAGCCTATGAAATGCTTTTAATCATTTTAGTGCTTATGCAATGATAGTATATAATTAATTTCTGTTATTATTTTCAGCATTAAATTTCTCAATTTAATGGTAAACACGTCATAAATAATTTCATCGAACCTTGTTAATTTTTGTGTAAACAAGAACAAAACCAGCCGGAAACAAAGATGCGACCATAAACAATATTTTAACATTTTGACAACGACAGCTGTTTGAAAATAGTGACAAAAACTGGACGTAAAATTGAAATTCATTTCACATTTTATTAAAACTAAGTGCATGATAATGAACGTTGTATATTTATAAAAGTGTTGAATTTGTTGGTATCTAAATAATGAGTGTGGGTTTAAAAAGAAATTCATTTGTAGTTTGACAATCAACATGTATACTTTGAAGGGTATATTTCCCGAGCCGAGTAAGTCCGTTACATTTTGTTTTTTTGTTGTTTATGTTAAAAAATAACATAGTCTAGTATACTAGTATTAGTATTTACTGTTTAAAATTTAAAAGAATACTGTATACACGGTCATTGTCCCACTAATACTAAATTTGATTCAATCAAATTATAATTTCACTTTTTCATATGACTTATCGCGGCGATGCTCATATTTATCGTGAGAATATTTTATTTTATTTTATTGTACTAAATGAGCATTAATTATCCATGTGAGGATACCCATTTAAGGGTTTGGTATAAGCCAACTTAATAAAAACTGACATTGGTAATTTGAAGTAGTATTAGAGAAGCTAGTAAGGATATATCTAGTGTGAATAGATAAAAAAAAAAGAATAACTTCACTGAATAAGAGTCTTTAATGACTAATTTTAACATGCTTACAGAGAAAGATCAAAAAAAGAACTTCATCAAAGAAAATATGAAGCAGCTGAAATACATTCAGAAACAATCACCAAAGGAGACTTCTAAGAGTCTTCGAACTCAAGATATGACCAACTCTGCTACTGGTAGCACAATTGGTCAAGTAAAATCCTCACCATCAAACAAAAGTGCCAAAATCAGCTTAAACATTGGTAAACCTGGTGCTGCAAACAGGAAAAAACTTTCAGACAATGTACGGATAAAAAAAGGAGACATGGCAGAATTCCTTAAACGCAAAGAACTTAGACAAATGAAACCTGTAGATTTACAAAATGATGACGAGAACTCCTCAGAATCATCTGGACATCTCCGAGATGTTGCTTGCCAGACTATCGAGTCGAATCTTTCACAAAAACTGACAGAAAGCACAAAATTAACTGTTCTCTACCCTAAGAAGGAAGATGATGGTAAAGTGAAAGCATGTGGCGATACTGGTCTTCATCGAAGTCCTCCGCCATCACAGACTCCACGTAAAGGTGGAGATGAAAATATAGAAATAGATAGGAACAGAAGTCGTCTTAATGCTATATTGGAAAGGAAGGACAGTAAAGATCCTTACTTGCCTTCAGGTAATTTAAAGATATGAAATATAGTTAAGGGCATCTTTAATTTGTTTCAATTATGAAACTCCAAATAAATTATACAATATTGTATGAATAAACTTTAATGATGGATAGCTTTAGTTTCTGACTTTGACTTCTGACTATATTGTGTGGCTCAAACGTAGTCTGCAGCTATTTGAAGATGTTAATTCTGGTAGAAATGACATGTAATTTAAAAAACTAATCCTTTTATTTCACTTGAATATATGTGAATTTATCTACAGGCTACCAAAAAGGAGTTTTACCAAAATATCTCCGAGAACGGAAGGAGCAGACACAAAAAGATTCTGAAGTAGTCAGTGATAGTGACAATATTCAGTGTCCACCTGGACATGTCACCTTACCTGATAATGAGAGAAAGGAAACACTTCGGATGCTACGAAATAGTAAGTTGCATATTACTTTGGTTTTAATCATGAAAAACCAAATAAGTGTCAAATGAAGATTGAAACCGTATGAATAAAAAAAAAACTGTGAAAAAAATTCTAACTAATGTTTGTAAACAAAGATTCCCACATTGAATTTTATTAAAAATAATTACAAAGCTTTTCAATGAATAAATAAATTATTTTTCATTGATAATTGCATTAGCATAGTACTGAAATACTGAATATAGGGTTTTCGTGAATCTTACCCCTATACTTAAAAATAATCTCTGCAACACTAATTACTGGAATTTATCTTACTGAATTATATTCTAGGTTTTGCGGAACTTGTCAATGATTTAAACAAATTGCCGGTCAAGACTGACACTCTCAAGATGCGCAACAAAAAGATGGAATTAGAGAAACAACTGGCAAAATTAGAAGAGGGTATAAAAGTTTTTTCACGACCAAAAGTTTTTGTCAAAATTGGTGAATAATACGACAGGGTTGTTGTTGATCTCCTAAGAAGCGTTTGGAATTAAATAAAATCTTAGTTTGTGAACACAAACAATATTTTGAATAACTAATATAAAAAATTATACTAATCACGAAGATTCAAACCAATTCTTTTAGTGTTCATTATTCAGATTAAATGTCACTATAATTTCAAAATGTCTTAAAATTTGTTGAAATTTAATGTTTTCAAATAAAGTCATTTTACATGGGTATTTTAGAATAAATTAACTTTTTTCAAACAAGTTATCCGTCCATAAATTGTATGTAAAAAATTACTTTATTGATCTCAATCTGTAAGTTAATTTCCTTTATAATGTTAGTCTCACAATAATTGTTAGTTACTTGTTGTATTTTTGAAAATATATATGAAACCTCTTTGTATTTGATTTTTTTTGTATAAAAATACCTTTTAAGAATTTTTCTAATTATGAAATGAAAATACCATTTTAACATAACAAATAAAATTTATAATTAAACAACAATTTGGTACGAATAATAAACAACTATTTAAATTACGACACAATAGATGTCACAACATATGAGCACAAAAAAGTAGTTTTACGAAATCACAAAAATAATTGTTTTTTTATTTCAATTTCCTTTCTAAACAAAGTAGTACCTACTTTAGTTGCAAGTTTGCTGGAATATGTCCGATTAAACAATGGCTAGAACTATCAAGCGGTGTTGAATTAACATGAAAAATGTTTATTGTATATTCTGTCTACTAAAGAATAATTATTATTAAGTTATGTCAACTTAATGTGAATATAATAATTTTGTGCTAAATTCTATTCAATTGCAATAAGATAACTGTTTTATCACTATAATCTTCTAACATGTTGAAACAAGTGGCTGTTGAATATTATTGGTCCTTTCCTGTAGCAGGGTTCATCATCATTATACCACTGATACATGGAGAAATCTGGGAAAAAGAATTTGATCTCCTTTTCTGCTGATTGAGGGGAATCTGAAAGGAAAAAGAATAATTCCACACCATCCCCATATTTTACTATCAGTAACCAGATATTTGGCCATTTGAAATTAAAAAATACCAGTTTAAAATGAATAATTTGTTTTTCATAAATTTTTTAATTTTAATAATATACTAAGAGAGCAAAATCATTGAGGAATTGTAAGGCTGCATGTCAAAAGCTGTATACATTTATCATATACCCAGTATATATAGGATTCTTTTTTTTAATTTTTTTTTTATTGCTTAGATGTGTGGACGAGCTCGCAGCCCACCTGGTGTTAAGTGGTTACTGGTTATAATTCTTATCAATATATTTATTTATACCTGAACCATGTGCAACATTCCTTGTATCTGAAATACCAAACAGCCCCCTGAGACAGTACGGGTCTTGGAACTGTGCTTTGTATACACTTGTGGGACCTAGCATTTTTCTCCACATCTGTATTGCTCTCATGTGTCCAAGGATATGCAAATCTATGCAGCCACTGTAATAATTGCTTTATTTGTGTTCAACAGTCACTATCTACGCAATCATAAAGTTTTTTATTTTTTATTTCTTAGATGGATGGTCAAGCTCCCACCTGGTGTTAAGTGGTTACTGGAGCCCAAAGACATCTACAACGCAAATGCGCCACCCACCTTGAGATATAAGTTCTAAAGTCTCAAGTATAGTTGCCCACCCTTCGCATTACTGCTTCATGGCAGAAATAGGCAGGGTGGTGGTACCTACCCGTGTAGGTACCACCGTGTACCTACCAGTAATGTAATAAAGTAATATTCTCGAAACATTAAATGTAACATAAGTAACTTGGTTGAACCCTGTGCCTCCTTCATCAGCCAAAAAATACACATAGAGCTCCTGCAAAGTGACTCTTCCTTACTTCAACTATGAACAATGAATCTAATAGAGATCTACTAGAACCTAAATATTCCCAGGAAATATAAAATTACACGTACATGTAACGTCTAGAATTCATGATAGGTTATTACGTATTATTTAATTACCTGGCCATAAATGTGACTAGACGGTTGTAAAAGAACTTCCCTACATGTTCTCTATAAAACTTTGCTGCAGTGTCTTCATCCAACAATATTCTTTTAGTTTTTATAACAACGAATTTGCTCTTTACAGCTTGTCGGATGTATGATAATGCTATAGGATTCTTAACGGCGTGGGGTTTTACTATCGCTAACGTTAGCTGAAGCTTTTGCATTGTGAAAAACAACTTATTTTAGTCATAATAAGTATGTATTGAATTAAATATTTTTTTATTGTTTATACACATAGCACGGTAGTAGTGGTAGTTCCGTTTTTCTAATTGGAATTTGGAAAGGCGAAAGTATCAAACCATAGAGCCTTTTATTGATTATTATAAGGCCGAACAAAATCAAAAATAAATCCATGAAATAATTATTTCACAATAGGTACATAATCAGTTAATAGTATTTTCCTTTTTAAAGTGTTCCAATACAAGTTGAAACGTAGTCGAAAGTGTTATAACGTATTGTAGTTTGACAAAAGTTCGTCGTTTTATTCGTTTTAAGTATTTTTTTATTATTGCTTAGACGGATGGACGAGCTCACAGCCCACCTGATGTTAAGTGGTTACTGGAGCCCATAGACAATTACAACGGCTACCCCACCCTTCGAACCGAAACGCATTACTGCTTCACGGCGGAAATAGGCGGGGTGGTGGTACCTACCCGTGTGGACTCCCAAGAGGTCCCATCACCAGTGGTTACGCAAATTATACTTTTGCGGGCTTGATTTTTATTACACGATGTTATTCCTTCGCTGTGGAAGTCAGTTCAGTTGATATGTACGTATTTCATTAGAAAAATTGGCACTTGCCTGATGTCTTGTGAGTTCGCACGAGTAGGTAGCACCACCCTGCCTATTTCTGCCATAAAGCAGTAATGCGTTTCATTTCGAAGGCTAGGGCAGCCATTGAACTTTTGTAGAGGCAGTCTCCTCCCGGGGATGGTAAAGGGGTGACTTGAGGGGGTTGAGGCTGCGCCGCACGCTACCTACCATCACTCTAGCGCACTGGCACCAGAAGGACGGGACAACACGTCGGCGATTACGGCCTGCAATGCGGTCCGCATTGTCGTCGTTGCTATCGTCGCCGAACATACTGTGGAAGAGCAACCCGGTCGGAGGTGTATCGCGTTCTGACCCGTCAGACTGGTTTTGGCCAAGCGGGGTATCCCAGAATACCAGCGGCATCACCCGGGCGGTCAGGTAGGGCCGCCGTACCACGGAGACCAGCGTCATTGGTCGTTGATTATCGTCTCGACGACCCGTCGGTCACGGGTCCTCGGAGTGGCGCCGCGTATCTGGTTATAGTGTTGACCGCGGGAACCCCCCCTACACTGTCCGGATTCTGAGCCCGGACGGAGATCGGACGTCAGGTGTAAATATGCAAGGGAGTCGTTTAGTGCGGTAGGGCCCTAAAATTCCTTGGGCCCGCGGTCTGCTACCAAAACCTGCAGATCGTAAAGTTCCACATACCTCGCGCCCTCTTAGGCGCGGGGACCTCTTAGAAGGATCGGCCCCGGTCCCGAAAAAAAAACCAATGAACTTTAAAAACTGGGACATTAGAATTCAAATCTCAAGGTGCATGGCGGCATTTACATTGTAGAAGGCTATGGGCTCTGGTAAACACTTTAAGTGCTTCATTTTGAATGAATCATTATCTCATCTTCTCATCTGAATAGGTATACAAAAAAAACTTTTTAGAAGGCAACTTTGTCTTTTGTTACAAAGAATTTGGCGATATTGGCTATTTTCCTTTTGCCTATACAATTGACAAATGAAACAAGTTAAACAGTCCCTGACTGAACCATTTTTAATTTTAAGGTTAGTCTTTCTGTTTGTAGTTATAAAAACAAATAGTTAATTAAACATCTTAAAAAATGCCAGATATAGAAACTAAAAGAAAAGCAGAGGATGTGTCCCTTGTACCTTCCAAGCGAGTACGGCATGAGATCTCAGTAGTCGGCACCAGAGAAAAGGCAGTTGTTACTTCATCAGTGAGTATTGTTTTCAATAAAGTTTACTTATTTTCTCAATAGTACGGTCTATAAAAGCTAAGAACAAAGCTAAGAACTCTAACGCCACGATAAAAGCATTAAGAGATCATAATTATTAGAAATGGAACCCAACATCCAAAATAAACTTTTAGAAAAACACAATCTGTACTTAGGTAATCATGATTGATATTTATTAAAATTTATAAGGGAATACGAATTTTAGTCGGCTTGTACTTTAAGTTTTATTTTTCACTATTTGTAGTGATCAACAAGATTCCAAGATTCCTGTGTTGTGTTTTAAGGATATTCTTGTCGTTCTAGGTTCCAAGAACATCAAACTTGTATGCGCCAATTATGTTATTGGAAGGTCACCAAGGAGAAATTTTCACAGCCAAATTTCATCCTGAAGGCAAACATTTGGCTTCTGCAGGCTTTGACAGACAAATATGTAAGTAACAAAATCATGACAAAGCTTTTGAATTGGCAAGGTGTTTCTAAAATTCACACTCTAATAAACTACTATCAAAACGTTAATAAAGAATTGACACATTTGATAATACAAATTATAAGATTACAGTAGGTAGGTTTTAAATTTAGTTGAGAAGAGTGAACAAGCTAAAATCTGACCTGGTGTATAAGTGATTATTGGAGACCATAGACATTATATTACAGCGTCTTAAATTTTCTCTCAAGTCCAAATCCATTTCAGTTTGATTTAATATGCATTATTAAGAATGACTGCCAGTACCAATATCCCAGGCATGGGCCACACTGTACTGGGGTTTTAGTGACACGAGCCCTATAATGTAGGTAATAATAAGATATAATATTCAAAATGATAGATATAAACTGTTTAGCTTAAGCAATCATTAATATAAAAAAATTACAAAAAGAATGTTTTTATCGTTGAAAATTTTCACCAATGTCAGGGTTATGTTGAAAACTTATAAGCTGTACAAGTTCAAATTAGTGATATTATGATTTTAGATTTTTCTTATTTTCTTTGACAGTAATATGGAATGTGTATGGTCAATGCGAGAATGTGATGGTGATGAAAGGTCACACGGGAGCAATAATGCAGCTTTGCTTCTCACCTGATGGTTCACATTTGTACACTGGAGCTACGGACAATACTGTAGCAGTATGGGACGTACCCACCGGGACTAGAATCAAGAAGTTAAAGGGTCACGCTAACTTTGTGAACTCTGTTTCAGGTATGTTTCATAGTTTGAGTTTTGACACACATTGGTTTTAATGCTAGTGCTTTCTTGTAGTACAAAATATATACAACAGTGAATTCATTAAACACTAATTTGCAATCTCACTGTCTTAAAGTGATTGGATCTAAATTAAGTGGGATTGATCTAAAATTGAAGCTATAATCCGTAACCATGGTTTGAAACCAGATAATATCAATGCAAAATCTCAATGCCTGTGGATACAATACTGTAACATCCATAACATAACATCCATTAAAAAATTGGTTTAGACAATGTTACAACCTATTCTAAATTTCTCGTGTTATCTCTATATCCAGGAGCAAGAAGAGGTCCAGAACTCTTAGTTTCAGCTTCAGATGATAACACCATAAAATTATGGGATGCAAGGAAAAGGAATCCAGTTGCATCGTTTGACAGTTCATACCCAGTCACAAGTGTACTCTTCAATGATACAGCTGAGAAAATTTTATCCAGTGGTGTGGACAATGTCATCAAAATGTGGGATATAAGGAATAATCAGATTTCCCTGAAAATAAAAGGACATACAGACACTGTTACAGGTTGGTAATTCTTTATTGATTCTGATATATTAGATTTTTATTAGGTGATAATACTGCAACCAGAAATTAAATTAAAACATTGATACTGTTTATCTGGAGTGGAGTGAGGGCAATATGATGACAGTAATGACTTCAGTCTATTAGTTAACTACTAAAATACTGATTACCATACAATGTATTTAACAAATATTGATCTTATGAGGAAATGAGAATGGATTGATTGGTATGCAGTACAGTAGTAGTTGTTGCATACATATTTCTCTTTATAATCTGTGTTGTTACTTGTTGACGGGTGTATTGTAAACTTCTTCACCAACTCTGCCTTCGATAGCCCAAAGCAGTACAAGGTAATTTTAGAGAAATGTAACAGCTATTATTAGAATCTCTCTAGCCTTATAAGTAGCAATAATTCATGACTAAGACTACTTGTTTAGTTTACTTATAGATCGTGAAGTCATCTACCCAGGTGCAGCAAGTAATATGTGAATAGAAATCAAATGAGTTTGATACATTTAATGACTGGCAATGTCTAACTTGTGTTGCAATACTCGTTTACAGGATTATCATTGTCATGGGATGGTGCATATCTCCTGTCCAATTCAATGGATAATACACTCCGTATTTGGGACGTTAGACCGTTTGCACCAACAGAACGCTGTGTCAAATTAATGTCTGGCCACCAACACAACTTTGAGAAAAATCTGCTCAGATGTGCATGGTCTCAGGACGGCTCCAAGGTTAGTAGTTCACTCATCTTGAAAAAAAGTACTCTAACACTTTTATTTTCCTAATAGCCATTGTCTTAGTAGACCCCAATGTTGAAACTACTTCCAGGCGAAGTCAGACTTCTTTTGTAATATTTCTAGTTGCACCTTCCGTGCGGTACTGAAGGTGATTGCATCAAATGAACCTAGCTATTGTCAAATATTCTTAAAATATACAATGAGCTGTAGAACTCTATGGGTACCTTATGTTGTATAATTTATTTATTCCCTATATGCCCCATACCAGGTGACAGTAATGTTGTATACCATGCACAAAATATATGTCTCATCTAAATCATACAGTATTCATACAATAATTAGGTAGGCAGAGGCTTGGCTCTGCCCCTGGCATTGCTGAAGTCCATGGGCGACGGTAACCACTCACCATCAGGTGGGCCGTATGCTCGTCTGCCTACAAGGGAAAAAAAATTTTTTTTTATAATAATAATAACTCATAATAATGTCTCAACCATAATACATTTAATAAACAGTATGCTTAGTGCGAGTATTTCAGGGACGTCTTAAACTAGGATAGGGCCCTTGGGCACACAAGAATTTGAGGCCCTTTTGGAAAGTAAAAGAAGCGAATTATAATTACATTTTTTACTGAGTATGACTATTTATTGTAGGTAATCAAATACAGTATGATATAATATGTCATTAATGATATTAGAATGCTGCTGGTTACGATTTCGATAACGGTTTCTTTCGGGGTTTCTGTTGAGCAAAATCTTCTATTATAGGCATAGTAGGTATATGCCTTGTAAATACCTTCTGATTACTGATTTGTGAAAAAGTATAATGTGCCCGACAAAAATGTTTTGAGAATAAGCGTGTGAGAGAAATTGTCGGTCTTTCGGGGCCCCCTGAGAATGGGGGCCCTGGGCACGGGCCCCGTGTGCCCTTAGGTAAAGACGGTATTGAGTATTTTAACGTTCTCGACAGCGCCCCTAGCGGCAAACGTAGGCAAATGTTCCAACTCCATATAAATTTGACTTAACTTTTACGCTATCGAGAACATTAAAAAACTCGCACTAATCACACTGAATGTACACTCCTGCAAAAAAAAAATCTTTGTGCCTGTTTTATTAAAAGAACCTAAAATTTAACAAATAATAAATAATCAGATTTAACAAATAATAAATAAATAACATAACAGTTTTTTATTGTATGTAATGCTGGTGATATTATTTACAAATTGCCTACAAAATATGTATTTGATTTTTAGGTGTCAGCAGGTTCTTCAGATCGTTTCCTATACGTTTGGGACACAACATCCAGAAGAGTTCTTTACAAATTGCCTGGACACATAGGATCCGTCAATGATGTGGACTTTCATCCAAACGAACCCATAGTGTTATCAGTGTCCAGTGATAAACAGATTTATTTGGGAGAAATTGAAAATTGAGGACTGATTTTACTTTTAAATTTTTAGTTACACAATTTCCTGTCTCGAGTTTGATGATCTTAAGCAAGTACATAAAATAATAATGAATGCAATTTGGTCGTGATTATTGGAAATCTACAGGGTGTACAAACAAAACAATATTAATTTACTAAAAATGTGTAAAAGATCAATGACGATGTGTTCGTATTACTGTTGGCAGGTTATTTTGGTTTGCAGGGTGGATATCAGTCTTACTATACAATTGTGAGAACCGCCTCATGTCTCAAGCAGGATAAAACATTTACATGGGCTTTGGTAATGTTTTACTTCAGGTGATCCGTAAACTCATAAAGCCATAAAAAAAAACCATTAAATGTATTAAAATGAAACTTAAACTGACTGTAATAAAAAAACACTTAAGTCAAAAATAGAATTTAGCATAACATTTAACATTAGAAATAATTTACCTTTACACTAGAATATAAAATAAAAGTGGGTTTAATGTATTTAAAAGATTTTCTAAAATTACATTATCAGTGCATATATCTTTGTGGTTGATTGTTCGATTAAATGCAAAATCTACTCAATTTTACATTGGTAATTAAATTTGATAGCAATGACAGGAACCAGAGATGCAATACATCATTATTATTCCACATTTAACTGTAATACTGAAGCGATATAAATATGTAAAATGTAATATAGGAATACATTTAATTTATAAGCAAAATGTGTCTTTTATTGTGCAGTGTTGAGACCTGTGAATAGTATACAAATATGAGATACATTGGATTGTATGCATTCTGTTGAAGTTTTAAAGTATGCCCTACTATAACTGTCCTGTTCAAATGTAAATGCTTGATTTTGTATTTAATCAATGTCTTAAATGGTAATAAATATGCCATTGACTGTCTATGTAAGGGACTGAACTATCAGGCCATTCCTATTAATACTTTTTTATTTGTGCCTTAGATTAGTATTACTCATGGCCTAATGTTAAGCAGTTATCAGAACATAGACAACGCAATGTAAATGTGATAATCCAGTTTGAGACATGAGGCCTAAGTCTCAACTGTAGCATAACCAGTATCTTATCCTTCAAACTAGAGTACATAACTACTTCACAGCCTAAATAGGTAGGGTGGGACCTGCCCGTGCAAGGTCACAAGACTTCCTAACTCCAGTCTGTTGGAATTTTGGAAATACTCATTAATGTCAACTCATAATGTCGTTTATACACGTTTCAATTGTTACATAACTCTTGGGGTGGTGCTATTTCAGGTACAAAACCTAACTGAAACTTGTCACTTTTAAATGCTTCCAAATCGTCTGGTGTGAGCTCTTCCATTTTACTATAAACACCACTCTGTTCTACTGAAGGCACATTTTTTCCAAAAAATGATTGTTGTGTATTTGACTTTTGGAAGGTATTAGTATCCATATTTTGCTGCGAGATATTCAATTGAAATGGTGAAGCTTGAGTGTCATTCTGTTTAAACAAATTCTGATTTGCACTAGCAAAGATGTTGGAAGGATTTTGTAAGTTTTGATTGGTATTACTGAACACATTGGTTTGATTTTGTGCAAATACATTCTGATTGGCCTGAGCAAATATTGATTTTGCTCCGGCATCCGTTATTCCTAACTGTGTACTGTTTTGTGCAAACATATTATTTGTAGCTCCATTATCAAACATGTTTTGAGGGTTGTTTTGTGAGAAAATTGAAGGTGTTGGATTGTTCTGAGTGAAAACAGAACTTTGGACTGCACTCCTGAATACTGAAGTGGCCGCACCACTGCCGGATTGTGTCGCTGTGAAAGGAGACAGCACAGTCTGCCCTTCTTTATATTGCATTATCGATCGTAGAACTTTGATCAAATGTGGTGTTGGTTGTAGCAATTGTTCATATTTCTGTCTTGTTTCTCTAGTTAAGTTGTTAATGTAGGCAATCTGAAAATACAAAGATAATGATGACTACTCATATGCTCTTGTCCAGAGCGTAGATAGTGGTAAAACCTCTTGCGAGTCCGTATGGGTAGGTACCACCACCCCGCCTATTTCTGCAGTGAAGCAGTAATGTGTTTCAGTTTGAAGGGCCAGGCAGCTGTTGTGACTATACTTGAGGCCTTAGAGTTTATATCTCAAGGTGGGTGGCGCATTTACGTTGTAGATGTCTATGGGCTCCAGTAACCACTTAACACCAGGCGGGCTGTGAGCTCGTCCACCCATCTAAGCAATAAAAAAAATTAGTATTGTGCGCATGTGTTGTATAGGGAAAGGAATACAAGGTTATTTGTGCCAGTACTGTCAGACACATTTTTATATTTTGCTATGCAGTATTCTTTTACAAAAATGTTCATTATTTTTGTAATATTGTAGTAAATATTGTAGTTTTTCAATTAAATGACACTTCAGTTTTGATAATTAGTGATAAAAGTCTACTTAACAATATCACCCGTTCAGTGGAAGATCTTCCCTTTGTATACCTACAAAAGCCATTTCCTTCATATACCTACAAAAGCCATTTACTTTTTTCTTAATAAGTCTGTTGAAAATATACTTACAGCTTGTTCTAAAGTATTATTTCTTTTCGATTCATATATAAAAAGCCTCATTTCCTCTGGTGATAGATCATGAATTCCCGGAATTATCGGCTTCTCCTTGTAGGGTGCATAACACGAGAGTATCCATTGGCTTCCGTGTAGTACTGATTTAACATCTGTCTGTACTTGATTCACAAGTTGTTCATCAGTGTGCTCCGTGTTAGTCACCACCGGCTGTGGAGTTGTTGCTGAAAATGTACTTTTATTTATAATAATTTTGGCTTGACATCACTGACTGAATAAGTGGTCATAGTCCAATATCAATAATGAACTGAAATTAAGTCCTGATCAGAGTCTTCATATTACTTATTATGAGTCGTCTATTATCAAAGGTGGCAATCTGTGCATTTGGACAAAAAAATGTTATTGATATGTCAATACAGATTTGTTTGAATATAATCGTCTCCTTCAAAGAATTCGGTTCAAAACCTGCATTAAATAAAGGTTAATACTTAACCTGTTATTTATCTAAGATGTCGTTCAGAAGAGTTTTGTGACTGCCAATGGAATACAAAGTCAATAATTCGTTTTTCTGATTTACCAATAATTGTCCAAAAGTCACATTGCCGGCTTTGATAATAGTCGACTCTTATATTCCAAGCAGTACCTACTCTATAAAATACTTTATAATATAGACTTTTTTTTTATTTATTTTTAAATAAAGCTTGTAAAGTAATCAGGTTTGCAATAGCAGTGTGTCCAATATTGTTCCCAACTTCCCAGGGTTTGTTTTAATGCAATCAGCCTTAAATATCTGTGATTAGCTTCTAGTTAATAACTTACCATGATATGTGTATTTGGAACCGTAAACATGTTCAAATCTACAATTTTGGCCGTATCGGCAGTAGCCTTGCTGGAAGAACTTGCAAACAATCATAATTGGATAGTTTTATTCAATTATAATATGTAATTAGGTAGGTACATGGTAGGTAGGTAGGTATGTAGGTAAATGTAAACAGTTTCTATTTTTATAAAAAAAATTAAGGTATTTTATGCCCTGGTAACTAAGTATTTTAGGTCAAGTTTTATTTTAATATACATATATTCTTATATTTATTAAAAATACTAAAATGGGGTGAAATTAAATGAAGTTGATTAATTAGAGACATTAACCAACTGGGATGAAATTAAATGAAATGAGATGATATGATATGGGATGAAATATAATCTCAGTAAAATGGTGGTCATTTATTGAGACTTTTTCACTGGACTTTTGGAGGATCCTGAGAAGTTACGTCCAGCGGCTTTGTTTCATTTTCCCACATTAGATACTAAACAGTTAATAAACTACCGTTAGTACACATTTAAACATAAAGAAACACTAAATAGACAAATTAAATAAAAAACACATAACTTCGCTCCTCGCGTTTCCGCCAAAGTCATAAAGTTTCAAATTTAAATCAGTCATTGTCACTATTAGACGGGCAATGCGAGTGTAATGCATACAGCGAAATCTTTTGTAGTAAAAACCTTGACCGGATAAATCAATACTGTAGGTGTTGGACAAGATGTAATAATATAACCTGTTATTAGACAAAAGTCAAATATAATATATTAGATCAGAAATTAGTTTTACTCCTCCAAAAATATGCACACTAATAGAATTTATTTTTCAATATTATGCTTTAAGATTCAATTCAATTCATACGCGATGCCAATTAAAAAATGTATAAATAAATACTGAAAAAAAAACCGATAAAAATATAAAGACAATCGAAAAAGTAATAAATTAGAAATACATGAATTTGAGACATGATGCGTCAATTTGTAAAAATAAATTTGTTTAATATTTTATAAACAGTAATCGAATAAATTAAAAACTTTAACGAACATTTAAGAACAAACGATTTTCGGGTGCCAGGTTCATAGATTAATTTCTATTTATATCAAGATACTCAAAGAATAAAGTTCATTTGGTGAAGCTACAATTTTATCTTATCTCAAAAAAATAACATATTTCCCCGTATTAAGTAGTATGGACTACATTTCCTTTGCCTGCTTGATGGACGAAGTCTACGAAAAGGAGATCAAATCAAAGTATGTGTAAACCATAGACCTATATAGTAGGGACACGACATATTGTTCTATACGTACAATTGCTTATATAAATAGCACCCATTTTGAAGGCACACACATAAACATATATCTATCTCGTTCTTACTCAGCACTTTAACTCGCAGGAAAACAATATAACAGTATTTCAGTGTGTACATAAAATGAAACATGAATATACGTAAATGTCTCCGTCTCCGTCTAATGAGGCCGAAAATCCGCCATGTTTAGCGCACCAAATGTCATTGTCGCGTCAGTTCGGCCGTATGTTTTGGGTTGTACATTCTTTATTGAATTTGATATCGATTTAATATGATTGCTTATATAAAATTTCTTATTTTATCATGCTTAAAACATACAAAAATAATAATTAAAACATATTTTATAGGATCTCAAGAAAGTCGATGCCCCAAAACTATTATCTATATATATATTTAAATTCATTATGGAGTCCCCATCCGAAAAATCGGACACCATTTTTCGGTCGGAATCTATTGATCATGACACTAATCACAAATACCTCTTTAAAATATGTCATCAAAACATATTTAGACAGTCTGTTTAGATATTTCGGGAAAAAGGCTACCGACAAAATCTCTTCGGAACTATTTAAATAAAATAGTTTTATTCCGCAGTGAGTAAAACACTATTGTAAATTCGTTAAATATTTAATAATTAAGTGATTTTAGAGAGGAAGTCACAAGGAATGACGTTTGTAATTTTATTAACGAACAAATGTTCTGTAGGTGTTTTTTTTTTATCAGGCGGTCCCTTGATAAGTTTAAAATTTGAATCACTCAAGTGAGAGTGATTCAAATGGTGCGGCGCACCTTCCTTGAGGTGCGCTGCGGTAGTGTGTTACGGACTTTAGAGTCAGCAAAACAATTAAAATAGATTGTAATAGTCTAAGAAAAACACGTACTCAAAATACGATAACATTCAGCATGCTAGAAATGGGCAGATGGCACTGTACTACGCCATATCTTTATGTTTTGCGCCAAACGACAACTTTATAAAATCAGTGTAGCAAATTTTAAAAATCGTCATATCGTTTATTTGGCAAATTTGAACTCGAACGAACGAATTTTGCACGAACTCGTCTTAGATTTCACATAATATCTAAATCACATCATCTTTGCACATAACAATATACTTACTTCTTATTAAAGTATAAATTCTACAAATACATTCATACTCAACAATATTTAAAATAAAATGAGCCAAGAACATTTATCGATAAAACCTACTAACATTAAAATCTTCTGGGCAGCACTAAAACCGCCATGTTTTGTGGCCAGATGACGTCACAGTGGCACGAATTTTTTGTTGACGTTTCATTTCCATAGGTTTCCTACTTCAGTGGTGTAAACCTACCAAAAGGTATGTGCACGACTACTATCATAATCCGGATGAGACTGGGTCATGCTTGCACTCCATCTCATTTGACTAGATTGGGTATAGTCAATAACAATATGTGTGATTGCGGCGCTGATGTTGGCAATTTAAATCATATTTTTTTCGCGTGCTCCTTATATGACTGTTCCTCATTTATTGATTTATTAACATCCCTTGGTATTCCACTCCCGACTTCTATTAATACTTTGCTGTGTACTATGAACTATGATATTTATTTATGTATTTCAAATTTTATCCTGAAACATAATATCAAATTGTAATTATGTATATAAATACCTACCTGATCCATTCTTTTTAATTATCCGTTTTTTCCTTTTTCTCCTGTTTCCCTACCTTTACCCTTGTATGTGGCTAAACGCACAAACAGTGCAAGCTAAAAAAAAAAAAAAAAAAAAAAAAAAAGGTATGTGGCTCAGTGAATTTAGCCCCATTTTTTTCGGATTTTTTATTTTTAATTATTTGTTCGTCGTTTGTTCGTTAATGTTCGAGTGTAAAAATTGTTGTATAAAAATAAAATCACAAGAACATAACATTTTTTTACTCGGTAAAAATCACAATTACATGACTCATTGTGGTTCTAAAACATAAAAAAACTCCATGAGGCTGTAATTGAGCGCTAGGTGACACATACTCAGGTTTCACTTTGAGGTCATTGAATTTTTTCCAACTACCTGATATTTTCCTACAGTACGCAAAATAATGACCGACATCATAAGCTGCCACTCCAGACAATCTGAAAATTTACATAGAATAATAATTTTTAGTTCTAAATACATACACGTAAAAATAATATAGAATAAGGTTAACTAACCGATAACTTAAGTCAATATCAATGCATCCTTATTGTGAGCTTTCAAAGTAATTTTAGCTGGACGTTCGCTTAATGTACAGGTACGTCCAGATGATTCCTTGCTTCTTCCACGAATATCTAATTCAATAAAAATGCACTCTTTAGGAGTGTAATGACGCGTTTGTTTGTCGGATTTACACAGTGAACACGAAACATTAAAAAATGTTGCATGAAAGTCTAGAGCTTTTTCCAATAAAGAAAATCCTTTTTTAAATAGTTTATTTAGTTGTTTTTATGATCGAACAATCACCAATAGTCGTCGAACAAACGATAATGGGGTTGGCAACTGTCAAAGTGGCGCTGTTGTGCATTGTTCCCATAACATTCAATATTTGTATTGGAATTTTTGATTAAAAATTATTTTAAACACAATGACGCGTTGTTTTGTGCCAATATGCTCAGAAATTGGAGTACATCAATTCCGAAGGACAAGAAAATTGGAAGACTGTGGTTAAAGGCCATTTGACGCGAAAAAAGTACTNTTAATTGACAGGGGCCAACGGCTCGACAAGAAGTCTGGTATGATGAGCACGAGACTGCCCATGTTATACAGTTTGTATATTAAGCCGTTGTGAAAACTTTGTACAACGCCTTCGCGATATCGAGGAAGAGGGCTCCGGTGGGGAAGGATCTGCGTTTGTTAAGGCCCACTAAGATGTGCTGCGTGAAGCGGTACACTTGTTGGACGAACGAGTGCTTGGCGCGGAATCCAAATTGCTCATCGTATGCCTTTTAAGGGATTAAACAATACTAAGGTACTGATACTCGTATAGACAAGGTCGAATAAACTAAGACGATTCTAGTTAAGCTGAACTGGCGTACGGGCGGCCAACACTCCCTCCATCCTCAGTAGAATTTTTAGAAATTAGATGAAATCGGTCTTATTTGATTGCGTGGAGTGGTTTTGTTGTTACATCTTCATCTCAGATCAACGTAGATAAGATTTTTTAACTGCTATTGTTATTTTTCGTTTATAGGTCGCCGTTTTTTTTTCATAATTTACTACCAGACTTATGTAGAAGTTGAAATGCCCGTTTTCAGACCGGCCGAGTTATTTCGCGGGTATTTAATGTGCTTCACACGGACTCTGCTTAAATCACGTTTGTACAATAAGTAGTTCGTCTACACTAGCCCTGTGTTTACTAACACGGTCACAGTACAACGAAACGTGTTCTTTAAATATGCCACTGTTATAATAATGTAAACATCATAAGTATTTATAATTGAATGTTTTCGTTGAACGCGAATCTTTCAACAACGTGTCGAATGGACATGAGTTTTTCTTTGCGGTTTTATGTAGTCATCTATTTTTAAGCCTGTGACCCCAAAAAAAAAGCAATGGAGCTTATTTTGATGCCGGTGTTTGCTTTTCTGCTATACCTATGTATGTGAGAATTGTAGTCCCATTGCTTGATTCGTTTTCAATGAATTTTAAATCAGAAACCCTTCAATGAACTTTCTTATTTCTTGGATTTATTTAAGCACTTAAAAGGTTTTTCGTGTATTGTTATGGTTGGGCTCATACCAAACAAATGTCATTTAATTCCGTTCAAAAAAAGAAATACAATATGATATTTGTTATAAGAACTGCAGGTGAAATCGAGATGGTGAACCTGCTTGCTCGAATTGAGAACATCAGTTTGCTGTTGGGTCTAAAAGTCAATCACAGCAAAACCAAAGTGATGATTGTGGATCGAACCAACAGCCTTGAACTAACGGGAACCCTGAACCTTGACGTCGTGAGCGACTTCGTCCACCTAG